CGCATGCAACTCTATATTTTTATACATATATATATATATATATATATATATATATGTAAAATAAATGATAGAATACTCCCTTTTATTTATATTATAAAAAGAAAAAATATTAATTTTATGCATATTAAAAAATTAGTTATTTATATTAAATTTTATTAATCTCATAATATTTTTTTTAAATTATCCTTATTATCAAAATAAATAATGTAATTGAAAGATCATGTATTAAAAAATATATATTTTAGGAAGAATATTATTAAATTAGAAAAAAATAGTTCACGATATAATCTACCAAAATATATAAAGAAGAAAAAAGTTAAATTAATGACAATAATAAGATTTGATATATGAAAAGATGAATATTACGAGATATAAAAGTATGAACATAAATGTACTATAAAAAAAACGTTATATAATGATATAAAAGTATGAACATAGATGTACTATAAAAAAAAGTTATATAATGATATAAAAGTATGATATAGATACAATATATAAAGATATAAATTTATTTAATATATATTTATATATTATTTTAATATTAATTTTAAATAATATTTAACAATATATAATACGTTGATGCATTTTTTAACAAATATATTAATATATTTATTATATTTATATTTTAAATAAAAATATTTTTTTAGTGATAATTAGATTATTCTTTTTAGTGAAAGCATATTAATGAGAAAGAAAAATGGTCAAAGTCAAAAACCACAACAAGGCGTGACACGGCTTTAAATTTCAGAAACATTTCGTTCACATTCATTAGAATTGTTTGACTTTATAGGAGCAGCCATAGTTTGAAGTTTGAAGCGTAAGCAATTGAATTCACCACACCACACCACACCATTCCCTTATTAACCTTCCCGCCATCTCCACTGGAGCTAGTTAGTTAGTTAGTTACAGAGAACGTTTTTAGCATGACCATGGACAAAGCATCGCAAAGCAGCTCCGATTCCCCCACCCGAGACCCCAAGGTGGTGTCCATCGAATGCCTCAGAGGAAGCTCCAAGGGCGACGAGTGGAGCGCCGACATGCTCCAGAGCGGTGACGTCGTCGAGGACCTCCGGATCGGGTCGTCGCCGACCTCGCGGATCCGCTACCAGGCGCCGTTCAAGGGCGGAAAGAGCGGCGTCCAGAGGATTCTTCAGGAGTCCTACAGGAAGAAGGAGACGTCGATCGCGGTGAGAGTGCGGCGAGGCTCCGACGAGTTGGCGGAGCTGCAGGCGTGCATCGTGCCTAACGAGCTCGCGGCGAAGAAGAGCTTCGTGCTTCGCTCGATTTCCGATCCGAATTACGTGGTAGGGTTTGTGGATCGGACTGAGGCGGAATGCTTCGAGATTCAAGGTACTTTTCGCCAACCTCTTCCTACTTCCAACTCACTGTGTTTGCCTTTGACTTTTTGAGTTTCCACTTTCGACTTTCGAGACTCCGTCGTCTCTATTTTTGAAAATAAAAAATTGTTTCAGTGCGTTCGTTCGTTGGGAACACTTTGCTTCGTTTCACACGTGCCTCATTCATGAGGTGTGGATGGAAGTTGGGTGAATCTGCTGTTTAGGTAAAATGGTGAAGATGTGTAAGAGGAAAGAACAAATAAAATAAATGTGACAGATAACAAGGTTAAAAAAACTGATTGAAACTCAACCAAAAACAGAGTAATTATGCTAATACTTTCTAAAGATTTATAACAATGTAGATAAGTCATACTAATTTTAACATTTACAAATTACAACAACCTTTTTTATAAGGGATATGCTGCAATTTTTTAAGATAGAGATAGAAAAAGTAGGGGATTTGTCTACAATTTTGCAAAACTTGATGAATATAAAGGAAATGTAATAACACTATACGGATGATAATAAATTAAGCAGAAAAATTAAGAGTCAAAATTAGTTATGCCATATTGTTTCATAATTATAAATTTTTAAATATATAAATTATATTTAAAATTTATAATAATTAATTTGAATTGTTATATAAATTTATTGTTAATGATTGACAATTTCATTTACAAAATTATTGAAAGTTAATTTAAAAATAAAAGGAAAGTATATTGAAAGATATAAACGATTAAGGAAATCATAATATATTCATGTATTCTAAATTATAATACACAATTTGAAGTGTGAAATATACGTTTCTAATTAATTAAAAGTTATCTCCAATAATCTCAAACTGCCCTCCCTTTTCAATTTGTTTCCTTTTCTATTTCTTTCGTTATATTGAATTTTGATATTTTCTAAAGCAAATTGTTAAGTTTAAAAACTCTCATATCGTAAATTTTAATTATAAAAAAAAATAAATATTTACTCTATTGACGTGTAAAACAATATAAAAAGTTAATGATATAATAGTTGTTTTGCTTAATTAGCTGACACGTAACTTGCTTGGGGCGGCCTGCGAATTGACATTCCTTGGTGTGTGTTGAGCCCATTCCATCTCTTTCTGTGATCCAATGTGTCTGCGCGAACTGATTCAAGATCCTTCATAAAGAGTTTCTCATGCTTCATCCAACGATTTGATTTACTTTGTAAATAGACTTTTGACTTTATTGACCAACGGACACCTCATTTTATTGGACTGAAATCCCTTTATTGAAAACGTGAACTTCTCATCTAAAAGTTGCAAAACGTTGTCAGATTCGTTCAAAACTCGTGACTTCCTCTGGTGAAGTCACCTTTAACTTTAAGACTTGGTTAGCCCCTTAAACTATAGGAACCAATGTTTTTCGCACGCGATTACAGTAGAGTTTAATCATTAATGAAAAAAAAGATTGTGGGCTTAGGATTCTTGTTGGCTGTCATTGGATTATTGATGCTTTAATATTGATCAAACTGGTTACCCGATCTGGTGAAATGTATAATTGTCTATTAAAACCAAATGGATATTCAAGTATTGCATTAGTAATGCTGTCTTTGCTTTAAAGTTCCCTGATCTTCTTCAAAACATAGCGTCGGACTCACTGTAGTCTCAATCAGACTTGGTTTATCAAGACTATCTGAGGAGTAAATTAAACTTGTATTTGGCACGAACATAAGCAGTAGTAATGGATTCACATTACAGACTTAAGGGACATATCTAAAATGGAAACGTTGGCTGGAAGCATCCTGGGCCAAGGATTAATGTTTCCTCACACAATCATGCTTTGAACATTATCTATTTACTCAGTACGAAGCTTACTGACTTCTTCTAGATACAGACTCTATTACTTACTATAGTCGTCATAAATAGGCCTAATACTTATGTCACCTCAAAACTGAAACTAATCTTGGACATATTTTGGATTGTTTGTTTTCTAATTGAAGGGCCTCTAAACTTCATTTGTGTGTACTATTCAACTGCAATTAAGTTACTGCTAGCAATTTTTAGTCAGTTGCCGTTCAATTGCAAGAATGCCGATCTTAACTTATGTGCTATGACTAAGCAATCAATGTATGTCTCCTCAAATATGCAAGTTCAATTTTTTAACTCTTGCTTAATAAGTGATTTTATATTTTTATTATAAGTAATATGGATGAATTGCCACCACCAAGTATTACAAATTCTGCGTATGTTCTGTCTTATAACTTGTAAGGTTATATGAATTTAAAGGCCCTCAATCTCAAAACAACAGAAAATCAGGTTATTTTCTTGGAAGTTGTTGCTCAACTCGTTTTCAACCTCTCCGTCTGTATTGGGCATTGGCTGATAGTCACCAGTTATTTAGTCATCAATGGAATTGCAATTTTCTTCACTCTTTTAGTTTCGGGTATCATATATAATATTTGAAAACAACATCTGCAATTTGCAGCTTCAAGGAGCACTAGGATGGTAAATGCGCTAACCAGAACCAAGCTTCAGGATGGATATGTTTCATATTCATGGGAAAGAAGGATGCAGGAAATGCTATCAGTTCCCAATTCTAGCAACTTCCTTTCCTTATTATTTCTTCCCAAAGCTTCAGATCGTGTAGCTTCTCGCTACAATGATCTGGAGGATACCCTAGCTCGGGCAAATGCATGGCTCAATGCAGGTCAAGCTTCAGGTGTCCCTATTGTCTTCATGAACATCCAAACAGAGTCCCTACTTACTAAGGTAAACGGTCACTCCTTATTGTGGCACATGAAGTTGTGGCATTCGTGAGCTTCTAACTTAATTTAAAGCTTAAACTTAATTGGAAGAATTTGTCCATAACATGATATGAGCATTTAAATGACACTAGGTAGGTAGATAGGTAGTGGGAAAAATTCAAGTTTTACTTTGTATAAAGTTAAAATAAAGTATATAACATAAATGAGGGCAAGGACAACCGTTACTTTACATGTCAATTTTGTAGAGTTGACTGTTGAGTTATTAGAAAAAATCCAAATCTCGCGGAAAGTTAGTTTTGGGGAATGTTTGTTTCGCCTGCAATCAAAAAGTTCCCCATTTCAAAGGATGGAACACTATTATTGAGGTCCATAAATTTAGGTGCTGCCAGTTATAATCTTGTTACCTATATATGTAATGTAGTTGATCATAAGGAATTGGAAAACACAATTTAGATTTTATCATCGTATTGTGTACTAGGAGGCAACCAAGCTTTCACCATCTTCATTTTTTATTTCTTGAGAATTGTTCTTCTGTTGTTGGTGGTTTTTTTCTGTACAAATATGTGACATGTGGTGTTTCCATTTTATTTGTGTGATAGATATCTGGAGAGACCGCTTCTTCCACTGTGAATGCAGGGTCATTATCTGACTTAGCTAACTTATCAAATGCAAGCCTTTACGGCTTTGAGGATTACCATGGAATAGACATTGGTGTTGTTCGAGCAATTCGCCTATGGTATGCTCCAGTTGCAGGAGAGTTATCTATTGAGATCAAACTCAAAGAGGAAGATGCAAAGCTTGGCTTTGCCATTAGTCGTACCGAAGAGGTATATCTTGATCATGCATACCCTTACATAATATTAGTGTGTGGTTAAAATAAACATACCATATTGCTTAAAGAGTTAAAGTTTTAGCTAATAGTTTTTTTTTTTTTTTTGTATACAGGGATTTATTTTCATCTCATCAGTTATTAATCAAGAAAATGTGCCTGCTACAAGATCAGGGCTGAGCAATCTGTACAAACTAGCAACGGATACTTGTAGGCTATTGGTAGTTTCAAGAGTGTCAAATCAAAAAGTCCTTCCATGGATGGTTTCTTCAACAGGAGCCATTCGGTGTTATGACACTGTTTCACTGAGCCAGAAGCTCTCATTGCATCGACACACCAAAGTTCCCATTCTCCTGCATGTCTTGCTTTGGGACCGGGCTTTGGCTTCTTCAAGTGGAGGAAGCACTAGGTTTAAGAATCTCTCTTCTTCTGTGTTTCCATCACTATCATCTGAAGTTCAAGTACCGCGCCTTCCAAACGAAACCCATGTACTGCCACTGCCCCCTCCACCCTCCGAACCAAGTGATGATACAAGTGAAATTTCGCAGTCCAGGCTTGAGAGAGACACAGCTGGTGAATCCTCTTTTAGATTCCATGATTTTTCCTTGTCCAGCAACTGGGTATGAATATCATGTTCATATAATACGTAGTTGCATATTAGATGATGGTCATGCATGGTATTGTAGTTTAATTATTGTACATATAATATACATTGTTTTAGACTTCAGGTCTTCCAGATTTTGTTTAATTTGCTTCATTAGCTATGGAAAAGCAGAATGATATAGCATATAACTTGGAAATTGAAAAACATCACGACTTTTGTTTGTGTTTCCCTCTTTTAGTTTTGGGTCTGGATAGTTCGTAATGGAACTTGTTAGAATAGTGGATTAAGCCTAACTCAACCCTACAAAACCGGCTTGTAAGGTGAGGGTTGCTTTCCACTTATATACTATTCAATTGCCTAATCTCTAGTCGATGTGGGACTTGGGTTTTTCCCAATACACCCCCTCACGTCCAGCACTATTGGGCTTGGTACGTGGATAAATGGTGGGTGGCCCTTTTTAATGATCTAGGATAGGCGGGACTTGGGTTTTTTCCCAATACACCCCCTCATGCCTATGAGGCATGCATCAATGGTGGGTGGCCCATTTAAAGTGGATCTAAATGGCTCTGATACCATGTTAGAATAGTGGATTAAGCCTAACTCAACCCTACAAAACCGGCTTGTAAGGTGAGGGTTGCTTTCCACTTATATACTATTCAATTGCCTAATCTCTAGTCAATGTGGGACTTGGGTTTTTCCCAATAGAACTAATTGGCAACATTAGATTGTTAATTAATTATAAACCGTATTTGCGCTATCATTATTGTGCTTCTTAAGTTAGATTGCTTCATTATTTTCAATCATTGAAGTCTTGCTATTGCATTGGATTTGAAATTCCAATACTGGCTACTGGTACTTGGTTTTGTTTTTGAGTTCTCATTTTTTTAAAGCAATGGGGTTTGCTTCAGACTTCAGAATTACCAATGAGTATAGATTGTTGCTAGACCCAAAATCATTTGACTACCTGCATGGCTCAATACAATTACGCCACTCTATAGATACTCTGAGTCTCAGACTTAAATAGGATCAAAATTAATCCCTCCCTTAGATGCTGTCAATTTCTCTAAATATAAGGAGAGAGCAATTATATATCTTATAATTGAAGAATACACCGTGAAAACACTTTTGCTTCTAACTCTTATAAATGTGAAGTTACAATTTAGTATGGTGAAAATGAAGTAAGGAAGGCATGGAACATGACTATTAATATATGGTATAAAAATTTCACCTCTCAACCAACTACTAGATGTGTGTTTGGTTTATTGTTAAAATCTTGCAAATTTACGTTCAACTGAAAAGATAAGAAAAGTTCATTTGTAATTTGGTGCTTTGGAACGCGTGTTTTACGTTTTCGTTAAAAAAACGGATTTCCAAACACATTCTAAGAAATTTTATATGCATGTGACAAAAAAAAACTAACTATTAAATATCCAAATAGACTAATACAATGTTCAGGACCGGCCCAACATATTTTAAGGCTTAAAACAAAATTTAAAATTAGGCATTTTTAAAATCAATAGCAATAATTTATTTTAATTTTATTTAAAATTTATTTTTTGAGCCTTTTGAGATGCAAAATCACTTAAAAGTTATTATAATCAAGAGACGGATTGAGAAAAGACAAAGAGAAAGAGGCGGGGAGAGAAATGAAGGATATAGTAAATTTAATTAGTAACGTTCATAATTTGGGGTTTAATTTAGTGGGGAAGAAGAATTAATAAGAAAGTGGGAACGTTCATAATTTGGGACTTAATTTAGTGAGGAGAAGAAGAATTAATAGGAAAGCGAGTCTAGTTTAAAGATGAGAGAGAGTTACAAGAAAATTAACAGTCACCCATAAAAAAAAAGAATTTTTTAGCAAAAAATTACAATACTATAATCAAATCACAGTCCTTACAATGTTAAGCTTAGACAATGACCAACAAACCAAAGTTATAGTGTGTTTGTTTTCCCGTTTGATACAAGTAAATGTACGTTTATTTTAATCCATCAAGACTTATACTTCTCTATTTTATTGCTTTGGAATGCTCGTTCCCAATTATACAAACACGTACTTAATATTAATACAATTAATTCATTAAGTTCTTTAAGTAAAAAAAAAAAAGATGTTGGGGTATATTTTACACGAGACTGGCCTAAAATATTTTTGAAAGGCTAAAGTTAAGGTTTGAACTATTTTATACTTGAGGCCCTGACAATGTTATTACAATTTAACTAATAATCTCAAGTTTTATTATTATATATGCAATTATAAATGTTTTGGAAAAAAAATATTGAAATAAATATTTAAAATAAAAATTTCAAAAAGTAGAAAATATTTAAATAAATATAAAAAATGATACATTAAATGATTAAACGAGATAAGAGAAACAAAATATTAAAATATAAAAATAATGCACCGGAATAATATTTATATTTTAAAGACAAATTTTATTTTGATACTATTCAATTATTACTTGTTGATAATATATCATCTATTTGATGTGAAAAATATTAAAGAAATTTAAATATTAAGATAATGAAGTTCACATCTTAATTGAAGGAGAAAATATTCATATTAAAACAAATATAATGGAGTGTAGCTGTGTAGAGGGAATACTATGTTTATAAAACAGATAATTATTTTTAATATATATAGAGTAATAGTTAAAAGTAATTTTATATCGTACTTTAAATTATTTATTATAAAAAATATTATATATATATATATTTATTTATTTTTTTTGAAGCTGCATTTTTTATCTTACAAATTTTATCTATAATATATAATTTATACTGAAAATATGTACTCATTATAAATTTTAATTATATAAATTAATATTATCACATACAATATACATATTAAAATTTTATGATAAAATAATTTATTGTATTTGGTTAACGAGAAAATAACAACAAAAAAAAAGTTTTTAAAAAATTAAAATTTATCCCTTATATATTTTTTCCTTAACACTAATAGACGCAGAGCAAATAATTTGAAACGTGTAACCAAGAATGTATTTAGTCCATGTGACGATGATGTGTAAAGTATAGACGTGCCACGGATCACGATCCGTGGCTTGAGTGTACGAAACACTCCAACCGTCGATTGAAGTGCTCATCAACGGTTCTAGTTTCAGGCTTTCCCCACCCGCTCAACCACATTTTCCCAAACCCAAAATATTTCAAAATTCCCGCTCCACTTTTCACGATATATATACCCCCCAAATCCATGCCAATACCACACAGCAAAATCAATTTCATCATCTCATCCCATTCAATAACCTAATTCCCTTTCGAGTTAAAGCAATGGCACGTACCAAGCAAACCGCTCGCAAGTCCACCGGAGGCAAGGCTCCAAGGAAGCAATTGGCCACGAAAGCCGCCAGAAAGTCCGCTCCGGCCACCGGCGGAGTCAAGAAGCCCCACCGTTTCAGGCCAGGAACGGTGGCCCTGAGGGAAATCAGAAAGTACCAGAAGAGCACCGAGTTGTTGATCCGAAAGCTTCCGTTTCAGCGATTGGTTCGTGAAATCGCTCAGGATTTCAAAACCGATCTCCGCTTCCAGAGCAGCGCCGTCTCCGCTCTGCAGGAAGCCGCCGAAGCCTATCTCGTAGGACTCTTTGAGGACACCAACCTCTGCGCAATTCACGCCAAGAGAGTCACTATCATGCCTAAAGACATTCAACTCGCTCGCAGAATCAGAGGCGAGAGGGCTTAGAATGAATGCCTTATATAGTATTTAATTAGGTTAACTATTGTATCGTGTATTTTCCTAAACGCACTTTCATTGTAAGATTCACCTTATTCCTAGTATATGTTCATGTGAATCTGTGCTCATGTCAAAGATTAATGAATGATTTACAAATGTGTTTCAAAATCGTTCGGCGGAGTTAAATACGCTACGCCTCCTCTGTCAATGCTGCAAAATTTCTGATACAGTGTGTTTGTGTTACTGTTTGGAGCATTTGAGAGTAACCTAACTAGAAGCTTCGCACAGTCTCTGTGTATGCGTGCAAATTGAAAAAATAGAAATTTGATCAGTGTTTGTGTGGACTATGAAAGTAATAATAGAATGGAAAAGCAAACTGAAAGAAGTTACCTTATTTTTTGTGTGGTGTAGCCAGCCCTATTCTTCAGGATTTCGTTCCATATGGGATTTCTATTAAGTGTAAACCGAGCAGCATAAACTGCTGCTGCGGCAAGCATTGAAGGTAGGAGCGAAATTGCGGTTCGGTAGTTCGCAAGTCCAAGTTCCGCTAAGAAAAATACCATGTTCTCCATCTACTCAAAATTTAAAATTCCGTTAAGAGAAGCTAGCGATACGAATTTTGAAATTGGTAACTTATATGTTGTATATATATATATATTATACCTGTTTATCTGGTAGATTAAAAGCTCTGATGTATGTGACTATGAATACATACGAGGTGGGGACACTTAATTTCCATTCTAACTTCATCAGAATGTCTTTCTCCATGGAAAGTATTTGGTTTCTTGAGTAAGCATTGTCTGTTATGCTAATGAAGTCGCTAACCTTAGGAGTGGTCCACATCTCTTCGTATTTGCAAGCTATGAGCATTGAGCTTATGCTTAACAACAGTATTTCTTCCTTAGGCACGATTGTTGATGATAGGTATCGATCAAATATGTTTACCGTGAGAAAGAGGGTTTCAGGCACTAAATGAAATCTCATGTGGGCATCAACCAAAAAGTCCACCACAATTGATCTCATAATCTCATTAATATCATGTTGTGAATTCATGTAATCTGAAGCTCGAAACCCAGTCTCCAGCTGCATCATAAATTGCATTAGTGAAAAGATGAAGTGACAAATGAGAAATTGAGGATATGAAAAATCATTAGTACTTCAGCAAGCTTAAGGAATCTGTATATGTCGTCAAAGTATTCAGCTACTGCCACTTCATGAGGATCATTTACATCAATGTAAAAAGGTTCATACTCAGCTTCAATCAAAACTCCAGAAGCTTCCTGTATTAAAACCCACAACATAGAATATCACTAAGAATAAACCAAGGAGTGATTGGAGGAAGTTGGCCAGATTTATCACCAAGATGGAAATAATGGGCATATAAATACTAGTTATTTCTTGATTACTATTGACATATTCTTGTTATCATTAGCATATTTGTTAATGTTAGTATTAAAAGTTTTTATTAAAACTGTCAGTGGATTAATTGCTTGTACCCTAAACATATATATATATATAACAAAATGAGTTCTAGATAGTGTCAGAAGTGTGTTGCATTTTTAGTTTTCTTTTGGGCATTGTTTATAAGGCTCAAATGTGTTTTAGTCTTTAGTACACATTCAAACACACCACTATATAAATCTTTTAGAACAAAATCGATAATGAGTTGCACAAAAGTCTATTAGAATTTGCATTCAAAGCAGTGATAAGTGACACAACTCAATATTCTTATACATTATTTTTTCATACAATATTTTCTGGGCAAAATTGATTCCACCTTGCTTTGTGAATTAATTACAGAAGTCAGAGTCTTGACATTCCTAAAAGATTTTTCTTTTGAATTTCTTTCACAAACAACTAACCCTTTCTCCAGCTTCAGAACTAGCCATAGCTACAGGCTCAAGATTTGGTTTGCGAAAGAAATCTTCGGCACCATGTTCCTGGTGAACAATTGCTTCTTTGTCTAGAGTAGGTACAATAACGCTCTGAAAACACAATATGCAGCTGAAAGTGCATTAAACACAAGTATAATTTTAGTACAATACCAGACAGAAAAATGTCGTCTTAATGGTTCTTTACTTTGTTCCCTTGTGCAGCTCCCTGCTCATTAACATGAACGTCTAACACCAGTACCGGATCCTGCTATTAAACATAGATTGATTCATAATTCAATTTCATTCCCAAATAAAGATAGCAAAGGATTTTTCATTTTTACTTCTTGAGATAGCTCATTTTCCGACAGTTTTGTATGTAAGTTTCTGCAAGCAACAAGCAAGCTTGGTTAATAAATAGTAACACACACAAGATCTAAGGCAAGCTACTGATGAGCAACAACAAAATTGGAGAACCTTGTAAATGGCTTTGAAATGAGTTTCCCTTCAGTGATTCTAGGCACCTCCAAATTACCAATGTCACCAAGAACTTGACGGCACCCTTGTCCATCTTCCACATTTTTAGCTTTTCCTGCATGCCATACTCTTAACATGATGCACAGAAAATATAGAGTCTAACCAAGAGAAGAGAGTCTAAACTTTTACATGATTAAACCGTTTTTTTCATTAACCCAGAGGTTGCGCAAAGACAACATTAAAGAGAATGCGTTAAACAAATTGAATTCTTGCTTTTTAATTTTCTGCTTAATTCAATTTAAAACTCTCCCCTCTTTCTTTCCACCGCACCAAAGACAACGTTGAAAACTTGAATTAAACAAATTGAATTCTGATCGTTGTTCTAGTTTCAAAGAAATAAGACAGAACCTGGTATCGACATAACTTTAAAAAACCAACGAAAAAACATCAAGAAACTGCTTAAACGATAGAGAATTATAATAAAGTTAAATATCAGAAAGAAAAGATAAAGATAACAAGATAAATACCATGAAAAACAAACAAAAATACAGCGAACACCAGAAAGAATTACAAGATTGAAAATGAAACTATAAGATAGATACAAGAAAAGAGAAACTAAATGGATCTATCTTAGGAAGGAGTAAAAGTTAACACCTTTTTCTCTTCCCATCGCCCTATCGGAGATAAAAACCTTTTCGCGTTAACGATCGCAGGCAACCTTAATCCTAGTAATTTTACCTATTACCACGATATATGAATAGAAGCTTCTGAACACTCATATGTTACTGCATACCTATGTTTATAATACCCTACGGTATTTTTAAAATATTTAAAAAAGAAATTCCCACACTAACGTATTTTAATAAATAAAAACTCTTAAATGTCGTGCACACCACGTTAGATCCATAAAGATTAGCATTCAAAATTCATTGATAAAGTATCGTAACTACAAGAACGAAATAAAAAGGGAGACAGCTGAAAGTTAAAAATAACGGAAAGGAAAAAAATATTAACTACAAAAACCGTTTAGCAATTTCAATCTACATCCATGATATTCGATAAAATAAGTTACAGTTCAAAACGCCGCAGCAGCATAATAATGCACATTCAAAACAAAAATCGAATTCACGATTTCAACGTGCAGCGAGGAGAAGAATAACGACTAAACTACTAAGTGTGCGAGAATACGTTAACGTGTCCTGGCGGTGACGAAGGGTTCATGAAGCTCAAGCCCTCTCGCCTCTGATTCTGCGCGCCAGTTGAATATCCTTTGGCATGATGGTGACGCGCTTAGCGTGAATGGCGCAGAGGTTCGTGTCCTCGAAGAGACCAACCAAATAAGCCTCCGCTGCTTCTTGAAGAGCGGAAACGGCGCTGCTCTGAAACCTCAGATCCGTTTTGAAATCCTGCGCGATTTCGCGAACCAATCGCTGAAACGGAAGCTTCCGGATCAACAATTCGGTGCTCTTTTGGTACTTTCTGATTTCTCTTAGAGCCACCGTTCCCGGCCTGAAGCGGTGGGGCTTCTTGACGCCTCCGGTGGCCGGAGCCGATTTTCTGGCGGCTTTTGTGGCCAATTGCTTCCTCGGAGCCTTGCCTCCGGTGGACTTGCGCGCCGTTTGCTTGGTTCTTGCCATTGTAGAGATCGAAGACTTGTTTCAGAGCAAAGTGTGAGAGAGAATCGAGTGATTGTGGCGTTTCAAGAAATTCTCTCGGAGATTTATAATACACTTCTATACAAAAAAGTGAAAAACTAAGGCAATGAAAAGAAGCGGGAAATCAAAATAATTTGGCGTAAAGGATAAAAATGAACCGTTGATTTCGTTTTTATTGTACGGCCGAGATGGTGATCCGTGTCTATACGAATGGATAAATGAGATTCAACTCATGAAGCGGTAGCTTTAATTTTATAGCATCTTGTTTCGTATCAAAAGATGGCGAGCGCAGGCTTTTTAATTTTTGAGATTATTTATTATTGGGCCGCACTTATTTTTTTTCTTAATACATAAATTTGTGGGCTGAGCCTATGACTCATGGACTCTTCAAATTTTATTTCGCTCATCAAGTTATGGAATATGATATATATACTCTTTTTCTTTTTTTAATAAGTACACCTCTTTTCTTTTTTGAAAAAAAAAATTAAATTCTTAAAACATTTTTCTTTTTTACATTTTTTTTTCTTTTCTTTTCAATTTTCACATGCATTATCTTATCTTATCTTTATTATTTTTCACCTATTTTAGTAGATAATTTTAATTTTTTTAATTTATATATTACTCTTTTTCATTCTCTTTTAGTTTTTACACGCACTTATGATGTAAAATTGGTGCTTAATAGCGTGATAGACGTGTGTGATTCCTTAACTCTTTTAAAGATGTCAAGCCAAATGTGCATTTTTTTCCTTTGAGTGTTTCCCTCATTTACTACAATAAATTTAGTGGTTCAAATAATTTTAGTGTTTCAAAAGTACTTTTTAGAATAATTAAATTAGTGTTCCAAAAATTATTTTTTAACATATTTCATAAAAGTATTTTTTAAAACTCTAAATTTACTATTCTGAAAACATTTTTTGAAATTATATAAAATAATACACTTTTGAAAAGTTTTCTTTAAAACATTAATTTTACTATTTCAAAAAGTACTTTTCAAAATATTAAAGTTAGTGTTTAAGATAATACTTTCTAAAAGTATGCAATTTTACATAATTCTAGCATTTTTTTTTTTCAAAATAGTAAATTTAGTGTTATAGAACATACTTCCTAGAAGTATGTAAGAAACATAATGTTGAAAAATACTTTATAGAATGCTAGACTAATTTCATTATTGCAAAAAGTAACTTTTGGAATATTGAAATTAATGTTCCAGGGTACCAAATTTAATAATGGGGTACTTCCCCAAATTATTTACGTAAATAGGGATGTTTTTAAACAATGTACACCTTTGGGACACTTTTTAACGATGTCGTTATGGGCCATAGCGACACCAGTGACACGTGGATTTTTTTCACTTCAGAAAAAGCCATGAAAGTCATATTTACAATGTCACTACAGCCCATGGCGACAATAAATGGCTTCAATGAGGTCGCTATAGCCTATAGCGCCTCATTTTTAATATAAAATAAAATACATTAAAAATTAAGAAATTACAGAAAATATACATTTATAAATATAATGTTATATGAAACTGAAAATAAAAAATAAAATTTGAAAAAAATAATTTAAGTTAATCATTAAAAAAAACGTAAAAAAGGGTGGCACTATGGCCTATAACGACACAATGTCGTTATAGGCCATAGCGCCACTTTTATAAATATTTAAATAGATAAAAAGGAAAAAAAATGTATAAAATAAAGAAATTACAGAAATAATAAATTTAGTGGAATTAAATAAATTTTTTGTAAAATAATTTACTGGAATGTTGAGTATATAATAATTTTTAACATATATATTTTATTTAAAAATTGTGTATAGTGTATAATAAAAAATGAAAAAAAAATACATTTTTTCTAGGGACAAAATTTATTTATATAAATGGAAATAATAAAAAAACATAAAAAAATGAATTATAAAATAATTTTTTTGAAAAAAATACTAGTAGAATAAATTTAGAGAAAAAAAAGGACCCAATAATCCTAGAAAAACGAAAATTTTGAAGAAAATTTTTTTTTGAAAATTTTAGTTTTTCTTTTTTTTAACCCTAAACCCTAAAGTTGCTGTGAGCTATAGTGACAAAAAGTCGTTATGGCCCATAGCAACATCAGTTTTTTTTTTCATTTTTTTCTACCTCAGTTTTTTTTTCTTCAAAATGTTTGTTTTTTTTTTTGTCATTGGGTCATTTTTTTCTCCACATTTATTTTACCAATTTTTTTTTTAATTTTTTTTGTAAGTTTTTTTTTTGTCTTTTTCTACATTTTTTCTCTTCACTTTTTTGTGTGTGCGTTTTTATTTATATTTTTTTCCTCAGTTTTATTTTTTCGTGTGGTTTTTTTTTATACTAGTTTATTAAAAACAGGCTTGGCATTTTTTTCTTTTTTTTTTAATTACTTATTTTTTTCCCAGTTTTTTTAAAATTAACATATAAAGATATAAATTTAATTTAATTTTTTAATTTGTGTAATTTTAATTAAAAATATCAAAACGAAAATTTTAAAATAAAACGTAAATATTTGCAAAAAAAAAATATGCAAAAGGTGTCGTAGTCCATAGCGACACTCATTTTTCCTTTTTTTAATTTTTATTTTTTGTCTAGTTTTTTGTAAATTAACATATAAAAAAATTATTAATAGATTTAAACAATAAATTTTCTTTAAACTACACAATTCATTATTTTTAATTAAATTTATAAATAAATTACGAAAAATATAAATTTATTTATATTAAACAAAAAAGGTGTCGGTGCCCATAGCGACACCTATTTTTGCATTTTTTTTAATTGTTTATTTTTTCAACAGTTTTTTGAAAATTAACATATAAATATATAAATTTAATTTAACTTTTTAATTTTTGTTGTTTAAATTAAAAATATAAAAACGAAAATTTAATAATAAAACGTAAATATTTGCCAAAATAAATTATACAAAAGCATTGTTAATATTTAAAAAAAAATAGTAAAACAAAAAATGGTGTCGCTGCCCATAGCGACACCAGTTTTTTTTTTTAATTACGCATTTTTGAATTACTAAAAATATATATTAGTTATATTAAACAAAATACTGCAAATTTAAATTTTTTATTTTTGTGCTTATTTAATTAAAAATATATAAATTAAGTTTTTAAAATTAAATGTTAATATTTAAAAAATAAATAATAGATGGTGTCGCTGCCCATAGCGACACTTATTTAATATTAAAAAAAAAATGATGTTGCTACCCATAGTGACACATGTTTAATAAAATAAATAATTTTCCCCAAGTTTTTTAAAATTTAACATATTATAAAATAATTTTTTTTAAATTATTTACTTTGTGTACTTTTAATTAAAAATTTAAAAATTAAAAATTAAAAAATAAACGTGATTATTTGCAAAAAATAAAAATATAAAGAGCTTGGCGTTATGGCCCATAGCGACACCATGTGCTATGGGCCATAGTGCCTCTTTTAAAAATACATATAATTTAATTTAAAATTTCATTTTTTTAAAAAAATATTTTATTTTTATAAATATATAATAAATAACTCAGTTTATTATTTTTATTTTACATCTTTATTATTTTCATTCTTTTAAATTTTTTTTCTTATAGGGTGTCGCTATGGGCTACATAATTTTTTTTTGTCCATCAAGTGTGTTGGCTAAGCCTATAGCGACACTGAGAAGGCCAAGCATTTCAAAGAAAACATTTCATCACATCAAATCAGTGCAAGAAATAACTTTGCAGGACATTGAAATTTGAAATAAGAAATTATGAAGAAACAATTTAATAATTGTATTATTACAAAACTAAAACAGAAAATGAAGAAACATACTGGCAACAACTAGAGATTTTAGAATCAAGGACATGGGAAATGCAAAAAAGTGAAACAAAAAAAATTGCTAATTAAAACGGATACATAGATAGTTACTACTAATAGAAAGACTAAAGACTAGTAGTGGGTATATGGGCTCAAACCAACAGACTGATCCGTGAAGTCTGCGGCCCACACAGTTAACGGGTCTATCTTTCAAAAATGGCTGATGATAAACACACCTTCACTCTCGTATAAACATACCCCTTTTTAAAAAAAATATATAAAATGTCTAAATTACCCTTTTAAAAAAATGAAATTTCTAAATTTACACCTCCCTTCCCCGCACCTCCCTTCCCCGCACCTCCCTTCCCCGCACCTCCCTTCCCCGCACCCCACACTCCACACCCCTCTTCTTCCCAAAGCCTCTTTCCGCTCAATGTCATTAAGCAATATACTTTTACAGTCATTCTGAATAGAAAAAAAGGACTAGCCCCACCATAACCAGCACAAGAAAGGCTCTTTTACAGTCATTAACATTCCATAAAGTACTTTTACAGTCATTAGCATTTCGGAAAGTACTTTCCGGAATAGTAAAATTATTGTTCATATAATTCCGGAAAGAACTTTCCGTAATAGTAACTTTAATATTATGGAAAGTGCTTTCCGGAATTATGTAACAAAATATTTCCGGAAAATACTTTCCAGAATAAGAATTTAATATTATGGAAAGTATTTTCTGGAACATTTTTATATAATTCCGGAAAGAACTTTCCGTAACAGTAAGAAGAAGAAGAAGAGGAGTGTCAGAAAGAGAAAGGAGAGGGGTGTGCGAGGTGCGGGAAAAAAAGAAGAAGAAGAGGAGTGCAAGAAAGAGAAAGAAGAGGGGTGCACAATGTCAGCAGGTGGTCTTGTAAGAGAAAGACTCTTACTTGTTCTATGGAGAGAAACACTAGTACAAAAATGACTTTTAAAATCAGAGTTTTAAAATCAGTCATAAGGTAGCCATTTTAAAAGTGACGCGGTGGAATGTACTGCAACAGAACGGCCCCAGAACGGCCTCAAAACGGCCTGTACTGCTTTCAGTACGGCCCGTACTGCAAGCAGAACGGGCTGTTCTGCAATCAGAACGGGCCGTTCTTCTTGCAGAACGACCCGTTCTGGTGCCGTTCCAGACTAAAGTTTACATGCAGATACAGGATAATGTTCCATGCATGTAATTTTTACGCAATGGTTGAAACTTATGTACACATGTGATGTCCCGGTATTGAGAAAGAA